TCATGGGGAGGGGGGCGGGGAGGGGACACATGGGGCTGGAGACCCGGCTGTGGGGCAGGAGGGAGGAGTTGGGTGAGGACATGGTGGTCCTTCAAGGTGGAGACGTGGTCCTGGGCCAAGATGAGGATCTCGGGGTGGTCCTCGTCCTCCGAGATGAAGCCATGGCCTCGGGGCACCATGACAGACCTGGACCAGGATGATGGATGGTCCTCCAAGAGGAAGCCATGGCCTCGGGGCACCATGATGACTCCAGATCAAGATGAGGGATCCCCAGATGGTCCTCCAAGATGAAGCCATGGCCTCGGGGCACCATGACAGACCCAGACCAGTTGAAGGATGGTCTTCCAAGAGGAAGCCATGGCCTTAGGGGACCATATCGGACCTGGATCAGATGATGGATGGTCCTCCAAGACAAAGCCATGGCCTCGGGGCACCATGAGGGACCCGGACCAGTTGAAGGATAGTCCTCCAAGAGGAAGCCATGGCATCAGGACACCATGAAGGACCTGGATCAGATGATGGATGGTCTTCCAAGACGAAGCCATGGCCTTGGGGCACCATGACGGACCCAGACCAGTTGATGCATGGTCCTCCAAGAGGAAGCCATGGCCTCGGAGCGCCATGACAGACCCAGACCAGTTGAAGGATGGTCTTCCAAGAGAAAGCCATGGCCTTAGGGGACCACATCGGACCTGGATCAGATGATGGATGGTCTTCCAAGAGGAAGCCATGGCCTTGGGGCACCATGAGGGACCCTGATGATGATGATGGATGGTCCTCCAAGAGGAAGCCATGGCCTCGGGGCACCATGACAGACCTGGATCAGATGATGGATGGTCTTCCAAGACGAAGCCATGGCCTCGGGGCACCATGAGGGACCCAGACCAGTTGAAGGATGGTCTTCCAAGACGAAGCCATGGCCTCGGGCACCACGAGGAACCCAAAGCCATGGCCTTGGGGCACCATGACGGACCTAGACCAGTTGAAGGATGATCTTCCAAGACGAAGCCATGGCCTTGGGCACCATGAGGAACCCGTCCCACGCCGAGGAACCCCCACGCCGGACCCGTTGCACGCCAAGGAACGCCCCCCAACCCTGCTCCTCAGGCGAGGTGGGTGCGCTGGTGCTTGCTGAAGGCCGAGCTCCATCCGAAGGTCTTGCCGCACTGGGCGCAGCGGTAGGGCCGTTCGCCGGTGTGGGTGTGCCGGTGCTCCAGCAGGTTGGCGCTCTGCCGGAAGCTCTTGCCGCAGTCCCCGCAGCGGTAGGGCCGCTCGCCGGTGTGGGTGCGCCGGTGCTTGGCCAGGTGGGAGTTTTGGCAGAAGCTCTTGCCGCAGAGGGGGCAGGTGTAGGGCCTCTCCCCGGTGTGGGTGCGCTGGTGCTGGATGAGGTTGGAGCTCTGCCGGAAGGTCTTGCCGCACTCGGTGCAGCGGTAGGGTCGCTCGCCGGTGTGGGTCAACCGGTGCTTGGCCAAGTAGGAGCCCAAGGCGAAGCCCTTGCCGCAGAGCGGGCAGAGGTGGCGGCGGCCGGCCCCGTGGGTCCTCCGGTGCTCGGCCAGGTTGGAGCTCTGGCTGAAGATCTTGCCGCAGTCGGGGCACTTGTAGGGCTTCTCGCCGGTGTGGGTGACCTGGTGGCGGAGGAGCTTGGAGCTCTGCCCGAAGGCTTTGCCGCATTCGGGGCACTTGTAGGGTTTGGCGCGGGGCCGGCAGGCGCGGAGGTGCCGGGCCAAGCGGCAGCTCCAGAGGAAGGCGGCGCCGCAGTGGGGACATCCCAAGGGGGTGTCGGGCTGGTGGTGCCTCAACCCGGCCGGTTGGGCGTAGGCTTTGCCGCAGGCTTCGCAGCGGTAGGGTTTGGCCAAGGGCCCGTGGAGACGCCGGCGGTGTCGGGCCAGTTGGGCGCTGCCTTCGAAGCGTTGGGGGCAGAGGGGGCAGGGGAAGGCGCCGGCGTGGGTCTGGCGGTGGAGGAGCAAGGTGACGCCCTGGCGGAAGGCTTGGCCGCACTCCTCGCAGCGGTGGGGGCGCTCAACGCCATCGCCGTCCTTGGTGGTGGTGGTGGTGGCGTCTTCTCCATCCTCACCACCTTGTCCGCCATCACCACCTTGAGCACCATCAACATGTTCTCCACCATCAACACCTTGACCACTATCAACGCGCCATCACCACCTTGAGCACCATCAACATGTTTTCCACCATCAACACCTTGACCACCATCAATGCGTTCTCCACCATCAACACCTCCACCACCACCACCACCTTCTCCACCACCATGGTGCTTCTTCCGGTGGCCGGCCAAGGCGGCCGGGCGGGCAAACTGCTGGCCACAATCCCGGCAGCGGTGGCCCCCGTGGGCCCCCCGGCGGTGCTTGGCCAGGTCGGAGCTGACGGCGAAGCGGCGGCCGCACTCGGGACAACCGTAGGGCCGCTCGCCCGTGTGGGTCCGGCGGTGGGTGGCCAAGGTGGACTTGCGGCCGAAAGCCCGGCCGCACTCGGGGCAGCCGTAGGGCCGCTCGCCGGTGTGGGTCCGGCGGTGGTGGACCAAGGTGGAGCTCTGGCTGAAGCGGGCGCCGCATTGGCCGCAGCGGAAGGGCTTCTCGCCGGTGTGGACCCGTTGGTGCTCCAGGAGGGTGGACCCTCGGCTGAAGGCCTTGCCGCACTCGCCGCAGGCGTGGGGCTTGGCGCCGGCGTGGCCCTTGCGGTGCTCCAGCAAGGAGGAGCTCCAGCCGAAGGCCTTGCCGCAGTCGCCGCAGCGGTAGGGACGCTCCCCGGTGTGGACCCGGCGGTGCTTCAGGAGGTTGGAGCTCTGGGCGAAGGCTTTGCCGCACTCCCCGCAGCGGTAGGGCCGGGGGACCTCCTCCTCCTCCTCCTCTTCCTCCTCCTCCTCACCTGCGAGGGGACAGCAGAGAGAGGTCGCCCCGTGCCTCGGTTTCCCCAACCCACGCCACCAACACGGCGAGGAGGACTCACCCGGTGGTAGCTCCATGGTGGTGGTGGTTGGTCCTGGGGGTGGCAGCGGTGGGAAGCTGTGGAGGAAAGTGGGGTTGGTCGGTGGTGGCATCCGTGGGGACGTGGTCCCCTGGGGTGGGGACGTTGGTTTTGGGGTGAAGGATGTTGGTCTGGGGACAAAGGAGATGCTGGGAGGTGGGAACGTCATCCTGGGGACACCATCTGGGGGATGTTGGTCTTGGGGACCTTGGTCATGGGGTGAGGGAGATGCTGGGAGGTGGGAACATCATCCTGGGGATACCATCTGGGGGATGTTGGTCTTGGGGACCTTGGTCATGGGGTGAGGGAGATGCTGGGAGGTGGGAACATCATCCTGGGGATACCATCTGGGGGATGTTGGTCTTGGGGACCTTGGTCATGGGGGGAGGGAGATGCTGGGAGGTGGGAACACCATCTTGGGGACATCGGTCTTGGGGACCTTGCTCATGGGGAGGTGGGAACATCACCTTGGGGACAACGTGGTGGCCCCCAGGACATCCCCGGTGGCCGGGGTGACCCCCGGGTGTGAGGGCCCCGTGTCC